GGGCTGGGAGATGAGCTCAATCGGCGTCGAGCCCCAGGGGGGAAGTGAGAAGGAAAAGGCCTTCTGAGGAGGCTTTCTCCCTCTCGCTTGCCCCCCCCCCCCTCGCTCGCCGCCGATTCGCGGGCGGAGACCCTGGCCGAGGGCACCACCACCGCCACCCGAAGAGTCACGGAGCAGGCCGAAGCCGAGGCCTGCGCTCGCAGCCGCCCTGGATCAGGCGGGCGGCAACGGGGGGTGGCCCAACTGGGGCGTGAAGAAAGAAGCCCTCTGGGACTCTGGGGCCCCTTTGGGGTACCAGCTGGCCCCTTAAGGGGCCCTCAAGGGCCCCTCTGGGGCAGTGCTCTTCACCCCCATGTGGGCTACCCCCCGTTACCACGTTACCACCCGCACGACTGGGGAAGGGGGGGGTGGAGGTGGGTCTTGGAACAACGCGCGCGGAGGGGGGATACGCCACGAAGATCCGCCACCGCGCCTCTGGCAACAAGTGGGGTGCCCCAAGGCCCCCAAGGCTCATGCAGCGCGACAGGCGGACACTGTGCTGCTTTTGCAGCGAGACTTGCAAGTCTCTACGGGCCCGGACCCGTCGCATCCCAAGCGTTCCCGGGATTTCCCGGGCTGGCCCCCGTGAGTTCTGACGTGTTTCCTGCGCCTCCTGTGGACGCTGCGCCCCCCCAAAGCGACCTCCCGAACCCTCCCATGAATCCAAGAGGGCCGCGAATCGCCGAACGATCGCTCCAAGGCGCCCATGATGACCTCAAGATGGCCCAAGAGGCCCCCAAGACGCCACAGGAGGCCTCCAAGAGGCCTCGCAAGAGGACCTAAAGAGGCACCTCATTAATTTTCTCTAGTTTTTGATAGATTTGTGCGTTCTCGCCTCCTCGTCTATTCGGCGCCCGAAGACGAGTCAAGAAGCACCCAATACCGCCCCAAGACGGCCCAACAGGCGTCCACGAGGGCCCCAAGACTGCCTAAGAGCACCCCAAAACGGCCCGCGAGGCGCCCAAAACGGCCCGAGAGGGCCCCAAGACGGCCTCAAAAAGAGGCCCAAGAGAGGGAGCACGAACCGAAAATCCGAGCCTCCTGCCCCAGGAAGCCCCAAGAGGCGCCCAAAACGGCCCCCAAGAGGCTCCCGAAAGACCCCAAGAGGCCGCCTAGATGTCCAAAAGGGGCCCAAGGACGCCACAAAACGGTTCCCAAGTCAAACCAAATCAGAAGCCACGCGCCAGCCTTTGGTACGGCACTCGTGCAAAACATGCACTCACATATGCATAGATGTGCGCGCCCTGCCGCGTGGCAGGCCGGTGATGCGCTGACTAGACGCAGCACGTAGCAAGGGAAAGGGGGGAGGAGGAGCGGCAGGGTCAGGAGAGTCAGAGGTGACCTCCTTCCTGTAAACTTGATTGCGCCAGCTTGTACACACACTGAGACAATTGCAGCTTAGGGCGGCCGCGCTTCCGGACCAAACGCCACTGTTTCGGCGCAGTGCCCTCTGGCTCGCGCGCCCAGAGCCTTAAACAATTGTCGTAAGGCAAACGCGTTATTTTTCGCACGATTGCACGTGCCTTTGGCGCAATGTCTTAATCAGGGGGACAGCTTGCGCGAGCGATATAACAGTGGCGCTTGAAACTCCAGAACAGTATGCGCGTTGGATCCTCAGAATGGCGTTGGAAACGCGATGCTTGACAACAGTTGAGTCTGTTACGGTCTGCTTGTAATACACATAAAGACTCCAAGTTGTATAAGAGCTTGGGCACAATGATGGCGTCAAACAAGCGAATATCCCGAGACTTGCTGATACCAGCGTGGTTCCAGCACTTGTGCAGCAATCTGAATATGCCCCTAGTTTCCCCCAGCCGTCTTGTAACCTTCGGTTTGCTCTCTGCAACGTTGTGCTACTGCTTGTTGAACATTGAGCGGGTCTCGCACCACCCCCTTATTACTTACTGTCATTGCAACGGTTTTCCCCCAATTTAAATCGAGGCCGTCTTGCTTCCCCACACCAATCGCGAGATCCAGAAGAATATGTCGTTTCAGCGGGCGCGCGCTCACGAGCATCGTGTCGTCGGCGTATAATATGTCTTTGCACACCACATAAGCTGGTTCTCTGACATCCACGAACATGGTGCAGTGCATGTTGTCAGCGTCGAAGAACACCACAGTTTGCATGGTAATGAAAAAGACACGGAGACAGAGGGCACCCTTGAGCTATGCCTGCGAGCTCTTGCCTCATTGTAGAATCCCCAGCTGGATCTTTCAATACAGAGCGGCGCGTTCTGTATATTGAAGCTATGAATGATAGCAAGGGCTCTGGAATGTCAAATCTCGCCAACGCCTTGATCAGCGCGTCGTGCTTGATCCTGCCAAAAGCTTTGGCCCAATCGAGTAGCTCAGCGATCAGACCATGCTCCTTCGTACACTGGGCGGCGTCTATCATGCGTTTGGCAACTGAAATTGCAATAATAGTGCTGCGACCTGGTCTGAAACCGAACTATGTTGGTCGTAACATGTTTCCTGCTCCTCCTAACTGCAATGGATTTTGGATCATCCAGGCAGCCCACCGGTAGAAGGGAGATTGGCCGGGAATTTTCTGGTAAACTCGCGTCCCCTTTCTTGAACAGCAGCACCACTGTTGCAATTCCCTAAGAGGCCTCAGAACTGCCTCCAAACTGCCTCCAAGAGGCCCCCAAGAGGCCCCCTTTCGTGAACGGCCCACAAGAGGCCCCAAAACTGCCTCCAAGAGGCCCCCGAGGGGCGCAAGAAGCCTCCAAGACGGCCCAAGAGCCCTCCAAGACGTCCTCCAGGAAGGCCCGAAAGGGCATCGATCATTGATTGTCTTATGGTGTTGGAAGGATTTGGGCATTTTCCCTTTTCTTTCGGCTCTCCGACAGCCCAAGACGGCCCAAGAGGCCCCCACCATCGTCCCAAGAGCGCCCAAGAGGCCTCCAAGATGGCCCCATGACAGCCCAAGAGGCCCCCAAGAGGGCCCCAAGAAGAGCCCAACACCGCCCAAGATGGCAAAAAGGCGTCCAAGACGGTGAAGATGGCTCCAAGATGCACCCAAGACGGCCCCAGATGGCCTCAAGATGGCCTTAGACTGCTCAAAAGGCCCGCCAGAGGCCTCCAAGACGGCCCACGACCCCTGCAAGACCGCCTCCAGGAGGCCCGAAAGCTCGGAAACCACCTGGTCCGATAGCTCGCCCAACTCCGTGTTCCCCGGAGGCTTTCGAAACCCACTCGGGGAACGCGTGGCCGGATAGCTTGGCCAAACTCAAACCCAACTTTCGGCCACACAGGTGCTTCCAAAAAGGCAGGGGGCGGCGGTGATTCGCCGTAGGCGTCTTCGATCCGCCGCCCCCTGTTGATTCATAACAGGGGTGCCTGGCGTGCTGAACCCTTTCGGTTTTGGTTCTGGTTATTTTTCCAAGAAAACTCCCCCTGGGGCTTCGGCCGATCCGGCCAAGGTCCCGGAAAGGCCCCGAAACCACCTCAACATTCTCCAAGACGGCTCAATATGGCCTCTAAGATGGTCATGTTGGCCCAAGATGGCCTCCAGGATGGCCCAAGATGGCCTCCAAGTCGACAAAGATGGATGGTCCAAGATAGCTTCCAAGAGGCCCGAGAGAGTCCAAGATGCCTTCAAGTTCATCCAAGAAGCCTTCAAGACGGCCCAAGATGGCTCCAAGACGGCCTCAGACTGGCTCAGAGGCCCCCAAGAGGTCTCCAAGACGTCCTCCAGGAAGGCCCGAAAGGGCACAAATCACTGATTATCCTTAGATTTGTGAAGGATTTGGGCATTTTCTTCTTATCAGCTCTCCGACGGCCCAAGAGGCCCCCACCATCGTCCCAAGAGCGCCCAAGAGGCCTCCAAGATGGCCCCATGACAGCCCAAGAGGCCCCCACGAGGGCCCCAAGAAGAGCCCAAGACCGCCCAAGATGGCCCCGAAGACGCCGAAGATGGCCTCCAAAACGGCCAAGATGGCATCCAAGATGCCACCAAGACGGCCAAGAAGGCCTCCAAGACAGCGAAGATGGCCCCAAGATGCACCCAAGACGGCCCCAGATGGCCTCAAGATGGCCGTAGACTGCCCAAAGGCCCGCCAGAGGCCTCCAAGACGGCCCAAGACCCCTCCAAGACGTCCTCCAAGAAGGCCCGAAAGGGTCAAAATGGCCTCCAGACGGCCAAGATGACCTTCAAGATGCCCACCTGTTTCCCGAAGGCTTTCCAAACCGATTCGGGGAACACATGGTCCGATAACTTGGCAGGGCTCTGGCCTCAACGTTCGGCCACATAGGCGCTTCCGAAAGGGCAGGGGGCGGCGGTGACTCGCCGTCGGCGTCTTCGATATATCCACAGACACCCTCCGACGAACTTTGCTTGTACCTTCGGGGAGGGCGGCGGTGTACAAAGGGGCTGGCCCTCAGTGGTGATTCATACACCGCCACTCTCCTTTGAGGCCCAGGGGGGAAGGAGAGGGCATAGAGGAACAAACAGCTGCGTAAACGTGAACTTTTGGAGCTCAGCGCGGATTTTCTGGATCGGCGCCGGACCCCCCTCCCCAGCGCGCGGAGCGTGCCCAGGGCGGCGCCGGGGGCGCCGCCAGGGGGGCCCAGGCTCGATCCAGGAGAGATCCGCGCGGAGCTCCACACGTCTGTGCTTGTGCCGTTTGGAGTGTTTTATTTCGAGGGCAGGGTGCGAGGCGCAGGCCAGGGCGAGGGAGCTCCACACGTTTATGCTTATGCCGTTTTGAGTTCTTCTTCGAGGGCAGGGTGCGAGGCGCAGGGAAGCGCATCGAGCAGAAGACGCTCCACGGCGCAAGAGGCGAGGGCGAGGGAGCCCCTCGGATCGCGAGGCGATCCCGAGCCCTGCACAGGTGCGGAGGGGGCGGGCGAGCAAGAGAAGGCCCGCAGGATGAAGGGGAGGAGGTGGAGGCGAAGAGGAGGAAGGAGGGGAGCGGAAGGATCGCGGTCGGGCGCGCAGGCCAGAAGAGGAAAGGAAGGTCCTCGTCGTCTCTCCTGTCCGCCTGCTGCGAAGATCCCAGCGGCACTGCTGGATCGGTGCTGCAAGCGAGCAGGTCGTCCTCCACGCTCCGCGGGTGGGCGGGCAGACCAGCTGTCGATAATACCGGAGGCTACCACAGGTGGCGAAGAGAAATGCATGCGTTCAATCTGATCTTCCCGCTTAGGGGAATCGCCTTGTTGACTGTCGATTCTGAAGCACGCGCGCGCGTGTCTCAGACTTTATGCGGCACGTCGGGCCAACCGCGGCAACACACGCATCGACAGATGATTACCATTGCGCGTGCTTGCTTCATACACTCGAACCTGCAAGTGCTTGACGCAACATGGCCCAGTGCTTCAGCACCAAAATAAAGCATTGGCGATGACACACGGGAGAAACACGGTGGCTAACACTATTTTGGTGGGCAGCCGTGTGAGGATGAAAGAAGCGGCCCAGCGCACTCCACCACACGATTCTTTGAGTCTAGTCTTCCCTAGCTCGTGCGTAATGTCTCTGTGAAAGCCGCAGATGTCATGCACCTACGGTCTGGAATTCGTCTTTGTGTCTAAGCGCACGTGTGGGCGCATTATACTTCACCATGATGGTGGTCCGTGGCGGTAGCCCACAATAAACGCACCGTCATGTGTATCCGCTCTCTCAGTCTCTCTCTCTCTCTCTCTCTCCCTCTCCCTCGCCCGCTCCCAGCTTTCATTCGGAGAGGGAGAGAGAGAGAGAGAGAGAAAGAGAGAGTGAGAGAGAGAGAGAGAGTGCGCGCGCGCAAACATCGGATTGTCGTCCCACACGTCAGTAGACACATGCACGGCCCGCAAAACACGCCGCACCAGAACTGGAGCATCGCGGTGGCAACAGGTCGCAGCAGGGGGCCCAGCGGTGAAGTCGAAGAGACAGGGGAAGGGGGAAGGGGAGGAGGGGGAGCAGAACAGCAGCGCGTGCCATGCAGCAGACACGCACCATAAGAAATACTTCTGCAAAGAGTCTGGGGGCACACGCCTCGTTGAGCCTTTGGGGGTCCTAAGCTGCCCCAGAGCTTATGTCGGGGTCCCAACTTCGCGCTTCGCGCTGCGCGAAGCGCGAAGCGCGAATAACTTCGCGCTCTCGCGCCGCCCTCCCAAAGGGAGAATAGGAGGACGAGGAGGAGGAGGAGAAGGAACGAGGACTGCGAAGCGCGAAGCGCGAATAACTTCGCGCCCTCGAGGGAGCCCTTGTATGTCGGGGTCCCTGGGGCCATCTGGGGAGAACCACGACATCTCCGCGGGCCACCTGCCGGAAAGGCCGACCTTTTGCTTGACGCACCTGCTGCACGGTATGGCATCCACGAGGCACGGCCGCCACACCGCGCTGCCCCCCCACTGCCAGCGTGGAGGCCTCCTGGATGGGGCCCGAGTAGATGGGGTCGAAGGATCGCGCCGCGTCGCCCCTGCATCGCAGATGCATCGGCGATGCGTCGGCGATGCGTCGCCGACGCCGGCGACGCATCGGCGACGCTGGCGTGGAGAAAATCGGGCTCCACGTCGAGCCGCACCGCCGATGCATCGCCGATGCATCGGCGACTACGCCGACCCCATCTAGGAGGCCCAGACTGAAGGGGCCCCAGGACACACAAATAAATACACACAAATAAAAAGATTCCCCATATTTTCCCATATTCCTGTCTTCCCCCCCACTTCCCATATTTTCCAATATTTTCTTGGGAATCGAAGATTAATTGTGTCTGTGTGTTTTTTCCTCTCCTGACAGACAGCGGCACATCGGGCAGGCCCCGCCCGTGCACAGCCCAGGGGGGAGAGGAGCACCGGAGGAGCGCGCCGCCTGCCGGGGCAGCACGGCAGCCGCGCCCGCCCACGCGGCGAGCTCGAGGGGAGGCTGGGGGCGCGCACCAGGGGGCAGGAGGAGGGGGGAAGGCGTCTTGGAAAGAGGCTGCTTCTTGGAAGGCGCGAGCCCTCCACCTGTAGGTAAGGCCCGCCGCCTTCCCGGAATTGCTAGGAGGCCTACCACGACGAACCAACAAAATGTCATAAGAACGAGAGCGATGTTCTCATAACATAAACTCGATGTGCTTACACAAGACGATCTCAGCCAGAAATGTTCTACGAACATTTCGTGCAAACCACAAAAGGTTATTCGAACATGCTTTGGAGGCTCTACAAGCCAGGACGCTTCGCCACTGCCAGGCAGACCTCGCCCGTGCACAGACTCAGAAGGAAAAAGGAGCGCCAGCATGCGCGCCGGCTGCCAAGACAGCACGGCAGCCGCCCACGCGGCCAGCTCGAGAGGAGGGGCGGGGGGAGACCGACGAGAGGCCAACCCGAGAGGGCGGAGGGCCATCGCCGGGCCTTGGGACAGTCCAAAAACGACTCAGGATGACAAGCCGGCCTCGGGTTGGGCGCGAATTCATGGGGGGCGTAAACTGGGGGGGGGGCGGAGAAGGGGGGGCGATCAAAGGGCCCCTTTACGGGCCCAAGGGCCCCGGTTCCCCAACCCTCGCTGCCCCCCCCATCTCTCTCTCTCTCTCTCTCTCTCTCTTTTTGTTCTCTCTCTCTCTCTCTCTTTTGTTTTTCTCTCGCTCTCTCTCTATATATATATGTACATATATATATATATATATATATATATTATATATATTCATGCACACATATATATATGTATACACAAGATTGTATTGGCGCTTCGCGCCATGTATCTGGGTCCTTGAAGTTGTGTATGCAGGCGGGATGGCACGAAGGTCAAACCGACAATCAAGCGATACCTCCTTGTTGCCTTTTCTGGCATCGCCGTTGTAGTCATGTTGTTAAGTATCCTTCCTCCATGCTTCATTATTCCTCAGTCTCGCCATCCCCTGCGAATTCCCCCCATCCTCCTCAGCTCTTTTTGCGGAGGCTCCTCCTTGGAGAGCGTTTGGGAGCCTCACAAAAGTTGTTCAAGCTTGATTAACGCCTTCGGGAGGCCTCCTGGGCGGCTTCCTCGAGCCACCTGTTTCCAACGGCGGTCTCCCTGAACGACCACGTCACGATTTGAAATGCTTCCGAGGGCGTCTTGGGGCCATCTTGGGCCGTCACTGGGGCTTCTTAGGCCATCTTGGAAGCCTGTTGTGCCGTCTTGGAGCTCTCTTGGACTGCCTGGAAGCCCTTTCGGATGGTTGTGGGGCGATTTTCGAGCCTCCCAGGCGGCTTCGGACGCCCAGAAGACCGCCGTCTTGGAGCGACGGGAAGCCGAAAAGAAGAACCAAATTCACAAAAAACAAACCGAAAATCGATGACGTTTGCCTCTTGGGGCCTTCTTGGGAGTGTTCTTGGAGGCCCCTTTTGACGTTTTGGAATGATCTTTGGGGGTATGACGGCCTCTTTGGGATCGTCGGGGACCGCCTTGGGGTTCGCTGGCGTCGTTTCAGGAGCGCGCCGGAACGCTTGAAGTCTCGTGGGACCTTTGGGACGGGCGTCCAAGGGCCGCAGACACGAAACAGATGAGGAACTCCAGGGAGTCCAGGGTTTCCGACTCGGTGATTCCAGGGAGTCTGGTCTCCCCGGGGGGGTGGGGTTCCCTGAATTGTAAAAATATAAAAGGGTATATATACACACATGTATACACACAAGATATTACCAGCTCGCTGCGCTTCGCCTTTAAACTATTGGTCGCATGACGCCAGGGAGGCGCGATGAGGTCGGTTGTCGTCACAGCCGCGGTGCGTTCTGGCCATGGAGACCATGGAGCAAACAGGGCTGATAGGACCCAGGGAATATTGCAGCTCAGAAAACTCAGAAAGGGTCTCTGCCGTCATGGGGCCCAGGGGCTCGGAGCCCCCATTTTAGGCGAGGGGTACCGCTGCCGATGCGGATCCAAGGGGTCATGAGACTCACAGGGCTCACAGGGCTCATGGGGTTCGTTGGGGTCCTGGGACTGTGTGTGCACATCGGGCACGGGGCTCATAATGCTGAGTGGCTTTTACACAAGTCATGGGGGTCATAGGAGGCTCATGGTGCTCATAAGGATCCTGGGGCTCCTTGGAGTCATCAGCTCTTGGGGGCCATTTGGCTCATGGAGCTGGCAATGCTCCTGGGGGCTATAGGACCCATAGCGCTAACAGAGCGCGTAGGAGCCCTATGAGACCTATGACCCCTATGAGCCCATGAGCCCTATGAGCCTTGTGAGCCCTATGAGCCCTACGAACCCTATGAGCCCTATGTGCCTTATGAGCCCTATGAGCCCTATGAGCCCCATGATGCATATGAACCGCATGAGCCCTATGAGCCCTATGAGCTCTATGAGCCATATGAGCCCTATGAGCCTTATGAACCCTATGAGCCCTATGTGCCTTATGAACCCTATGAGCCCTATGAGCCCGATGAGCCGCATGAGCCCTATGAGCCCTATGAGCCATATGAGCCCTATGAGCTCTGGTAGCCCTATGGGCCCCATGAGCCCTATGACCCCCACGAACCCTGTCACTCCAATGAGCCCTAGAAGCCCAATGAGCCTTACGAGCCCTACGAGCCAATGAGCTCTCCGAGCTCCATGAGCACAATTCGCCTGATGAGCCCTTTTGAGGCCTGTGAGAACTAGAAGCCCCATGAGCTTTATGAGCTCACGAGCACCAGGAGCCCCATGAACTCGATGAGCCGAGCCCCATACCCCCCCTCCGACCCTCCATGACACCATATGAGCGCGATGACCCCTATGAGGCCTATGCGCCCTTTGAGCCCTCAACACAAGGAGCCGTGAAGCCTTGCGAGACCCATGATACCCCCCTCTGAGCCCTACGAGCCCAGTGAGCCGTATACGGCCTATGGGCCCTATGAGCCCCATGGCCCCGACTTGCCCCTCCACCCCAATCGGCCCCATGAGCCATACGAGGCCTACGTTCTTCCTTCTCGTCAAGCCTCTTCCTGTTTCCCTCATCCTCCCTCCTTCGACCTCGTTGCTCCTTCTCCTCTCCTTGCGTGCCTCTCCCCCAGGAGAGCGGGCTTCACCTGCGGCTCCGAGTGGAGGATTCGCAGTGGGGCACCTTCGGCCGTCTCGTGGCCCTCATGGAGCCCTTGTGATCCGTCTTCCTGGGAGGATCCGCAGAACGCTGCGTCACCACATGTGTGCCGAATGTCCCCTCACATGGACCGCACCCCACAGGGAGCTCCACCGACGGTGAAGAGCCAACGTGTGCATGCCGCCTCACCGCTCCACCGACGGTGAAGAACCAACGTGTGCATGCCGCCGCACAGTCCATGGTGGCACACCCGTGATCTGGATTATGAGTTGGGGGTGCCCTTCGGGGTATCGCGGCGTGTGAGGGTGAGAGCTCTGGAGGTGTTAGGGCTCCCAGGCCTCAAATGGCTCATGGGGCACCATGAGGCACCATGGTGGTCGTAGGGCTTGTGGGGCCGACAGGCCCCATATGGCTGATAGGGGTATGGCCTCTCGGGGCTCTCGTGGGGCTCCTTTTGAGGCTCTGCTGGGCTGTCTGGCGGCCCTCCTGGGCCGTCCCGGGACCCTCTTGGGCCGTCCTGGGGGGTTTGGGCCGTTTTGGGGCCCTCTTGGTTCTTCTTGGGGGCCTCCTGCGGCCTTCTTGGGGCTCTCTGGGAAGCCTTTTGGTGCTCTTGGGACTCTCTTGGGTCGTTTTGGAGCCCTTTTGGGCTGTCTTGGGGCTCCCTTGGGGACTTCTTGGGCCGTCCTGGGGCGATCTTCGGGCCTCTTGGGCCTTCTTGGACGCGGTGAAGGCCAAAGAAACGGATATGCTAAAAATGTACGTCTTCCGGAAGAAATGTGACGATGTTGACCTCTTGGGGGTCTTCTTGGGGGCCTCTTGGGGCGTCTTGAGAGCATCTTGGGCCGTCTTGAAGCCACCTTGAGGCCTCTTTGAGCGCTCATGAACCGTTCTGGAGCGGTCTTGGGCCGCCTTGGGGCTTTGCGGGGCCGTCCGGGGATGGCTGGGAGAGGCTCCCGAAACCGAAATTCGAATTTGACGTCGGTGGGAGCGCCCAGGGGCGAATTTGCATACGGGGGGGGGGTCGGGGGGGGTCCACTATAAGAATATTCGACGAGGAATATATATATATATATATATATATATATATATATATTCTCATACGCACCTCTCCGAGGGAGTAGAGCTCAGAGGCGATTAATGCGCACGCGTCCGCGATTTTTCTGGGCGTTTCGCTCGGGACATCCTCGAAATTCTGAAAATCGGTGGCACCCCTCACGCAGATCGTGACGTCAGGGTCCAAAAACACATGGGAATTTCAACATTTTAACATAAAACCTTCAAAAACACATGGTAATTTCAATAATTGTGACCCCGATTCTCAGGGAATGGCGGTTTCGCTTGAAAAATCCTTCCAAAATCAAGCCCCAGACCCCGCCTCGGAGCCTCCTGGGGGCCTCCTGGAACCTCCTGGGGCCTCCTGGGGCTTTCTGAACCTTCTGGCACCCCAGACCCCGCCTCGGAGCCTCCTGGTGGTCTCCTGAAACCTCCTGGGCTCCTGGGGCCTCCTGCGGCCTCCTGGAGCCTCTTGGGGCCTCCTGAAGCCTCCTGGGGTCTCCTGGGGCCTCCTGAGGCCACCTGGGGCTTCTTGGGGCCTCCTGGGGCTTCAGAACTACATGCACACAGAGACACAAATCACGCCCAACACATCACACGCTAGACAAACATAACACACACACACACACACACACACACACACACACACACACACACACACAACACCTACAACACACAAAAAGCACGCACCACACAAAGCATACATCAACACACACACACACACACACACGCACAACACTCACAATCCTGGGGCCTCCTGGAGCCTCTTCTGGTATCCAAGTCGGGCCTCCTGAGGCTTCCTGGGGGGTCCTGGTACACACATCGCAAGGTGTGGCAACCCCACTTGCGCTCGAGTGCGACTTCGATGTTGCATTTCACTCCTGCTTCAAACGCCCCTTCAGTTTTTTGTATGAGCCTGGGCACACACGTGCCACTTGTGTGTGTATGTATATATATATATATATATATATCGCACGTCCACTACTTCGCGCCCAATCGGGGAATGGGTCGGGACTTCCGGGGACACCACATTGAAAGAATGAGGGCACTCCACGTCTGGGCCTGGAGGAGCAAGCTCAACCCAGGCGTCCCTGGAGACGGCGCTTGTGCTCCATCGGGGGACTCTCGGGTCGGTCGCCAGGGGGGGGAGGTAGCAAAAGCGGGGATCGCGAGTCAGCTCACCTGGCCCACGCTTCCAGCGCCCCCCGGCACCGGAGGCGCCAAGGCATGTGGAGGGAAGGCGCTCGGCGGCGAGGCCGAAATCAGCTGCATGCAGCGGCTCCCCGACTTCCCTATTCGGGGGGGGGGGGCGGTGGGGGCGAATCGCCCAGGGGAGAGCGACCGATGGTCCATGCCTGCGGCGAGGCTCCCGGGCGAACACTATCGTCGCCTCCTCCTCCTCCTCCTCCTCCTCCTCCTCCTCCTCGCCCTCCTCCTCCCTCCTCCCCCTCCTCCTCCCCCTCCTCCTCCGTCCCCGCGGCCAGGCCCGCCGCCCCCCTCCCCCCCCGCATGGTTTCGCGCCGCAGCGCCTGGCGTCGCGCGGCACCGGCAGGGGCAGACGCGCTGGGTGCACGCAGGGCATACAGTCCTAAGGAACCCTAAATAAGGAACGAGGCCCCTTTTTCCCATATAAGTTAAACCTCGATTTCCTATGGAAAACCTCAGGAAAACCAGAGGCAAACTTTGAAACAATCAAGGAACACCGAGCCCCTCCCCAACGAAAAGGGTTCCTTCTGCAGGGCCCCGACTGTACGTTGGACACATACGCTGACGGGCCCCCCGGGCCATCGGGGGGCAGGGAGCCTCCGTGGGGCACCCGCTGGCAGGCCAGTTCATGCTCAGTCGACGCGCCGACTGCACAGGAGCACGAGACGACGCAGGTCCGCGCGGATTTCTCGAATCGGCGCTGGCGCACGAGGCGCGCGGGAGAGTGGCCTCCAGCGCCGATCCAAGAAGTCCCTGCGGACCTCCGAGCGTCTATGCTCATGCCGTGTTCTACTCTCTTCGAGCAAGAGGGAGAGAGAGAGAGAGAGAGAGAGAGAAAGCCATAGGTCATCAGGCAGACTGGGAACGCCCCAAGAGCCGACCTGCAACAGACGAACTCATGCAGCGAATCGTGGCCGGGGTGAAAAATGGCGGTCGTGTGCTCCGACAGGGAGACACGAAGAAGAGGAGGTCGCTTGGGGCCAGGGGTCGGGCGTTGGCAGAACTGGGTTTAGTGGGACCTGGTTTAATGATGTGTACTGGGGGACGGCCCCCCCCGTCCCGTTCCACCACTAGCCAGAACGGCCGTCACCCGAAAAAAGCACCAGCTACGGCAGACCTGGTTTTAGTGATCCTGGCCAATTTAAGGGCTCCAGGGCCCTACAGTCGGGGGCTTGACCTAAGGAACCCGAAATAAGGAACGAGGCCCCTTTTTTCCATCAGTTAAACTTCGATTTCCGATCGAAAACATAAGGAAAACCTCAGGCAAGCTGCGAAACACTAAGGAACGCGGAGCCCCTCCCCAACGAAAAGGGTTCCTTCTTCAGGGCCCCGACTGTACTACTAACCGGGTCCCCCTACCTGGGGTCCTGGCTATACCCGAATCGAGGGGGCCCGGCGCTCGATGCGCCCGCGGCGCCGGCAGAGGCACCGGTGTCTGCGGCGGAGCTCGGTCGGCGGGCCAACGGTGTCTGCGGCGGAGGAGCAGCAGGTCGAGGCCGGCAGGTCGCCTCGGGCTCCTCCTGAGCATTTTCTTAGGGTGGAGGGCTCAGGGTGAAATCCACCTGGGCGCTTCTGGCCATCGCTCGGACGTCCATTCCCTGTGCCTTTTTCGGTTTCGTGCGTGGTTTTTTCGCCAAATGATCAAGGATGCTCCTCGATGGTCCTCGCCGAAGGAAAAATGCACACGTCCGAGCGATGCAAGGCTTGCACCTCGAAAAACAATGCGTTTTGTGATTCACCTGTTGCAGATTCAAGCCTCGAAAATCAATCGAAACGGCACTTCAGATTGTCACCCTTTGCCCTCCACCCAAAGAAAATGCTCGGTCATCGTGACCGCACGCAGGGGGGGGGGCAGGGAGTGTGGCAGGTGATGAGGCTGGGAGCGCCATCCAGAACGGCCAAAGACGTTCCGAGTGGAGGAGCACATGAGTACATAATGAAGCAGTCTGGGAGACCCCGTGGGCAACCAACAACAACATGCGCGGGAGATGCGGGTGAAAGCCAGAACCTTCTCAGGGGAGGGGGAGAGAAGTAGTCTGAGCCAGTTCGGAACGGTTGAGATGAGACAGGAGATTAGAGGGCCGAAGAGGAGGAAGGTGAGGACGCGCATGAAACATCGCAATCGCACGCGCAAGCCAAGAGAACACGGAATGTCCTCCTCGTCTCTCCTGTCCGTATGCTGCGAAGCTCCCAACGGCACAGCGATATCGGCACTGCAAGCGAGCAAATCGTCCTACACTTCCAGGGGCGGCAACAGAAATGCAAATCTGACTGCCCCCAGTGCTGACCTGTACATGCTTCGTACGTCCATCTTCCCGATCTGCGCAAGATTCGTCTCCATTACTCGACAGTGCTGGAAGCACGCGTAGTTCGCGCACGCGCATCGCCATTCACTTGGAACTTCGGTGTGAAACCAGCATTGCATGCGTGAAGACGAACGTGCACGTGACGACGCTTCGCGCGCGCTTAACCATGTCACTTACGCGTTGGGAAATTGTATGCGTGTGCTGTGACACTGCTCACTTGCTCGGCCCTCGGAACATTGGTTATGAGAAATGCAAACTTACAACGGCGACCATTATTTAATCGCTTCGCTCATTCCGCTGGCCCATATTGCCTCGCCGCTGTCGTTTGTCGGCGTGTTGTTGTCAATGCGGTGCGGTTGGGCGGCTGCCATTTTTCGGAGGCGGTGGGTGGCAGGTCAGAGGCCTCACGGATGTTGGTTGGGCTCTCGTGGTTGGCCTCTCAGGGGCCTTTGGGAGGCAATTTTGACGCCTCTTGGGGGCCGCGTTGGAGCCTCTTGGGGCCTCTTGGGGGCCTCTTGGGGCTTCTTGGGGTGCCTCTTTGGAGGTCCCTTGGAGCCTCTTGGGGGCCTCTTGGGGCCTCCTGGGGGCCTCTTGGGACTGAAGGCTGGACTTTTCGGTTCCTGGTTCCCTTTCTTGGTCCCCTCTTGGGGCCGTTTTGGGGCTCCCTTGGGCCGCCTTGGGCGCCTCTTGGGCTGTCTGGGGGCCATCTTGGGCCGTCTTGGGGCCTTCTTGGAGGCTTCGTGGGCCGTCTTGGGGCGGTCTTGGAAGCCTCTTGGGCCGTCTTGGAGCGACGGTAAGCCGAAAAGCCGTCAGAAACTAAAGGAAAATCACTAACTTCTGCCTCTGTGGGCCCTCTTGGGAGGTCTCTTGGAGGCCTCTTGGGGCGTCTTGAAGGCGCTTTGGGCTGTCTGGAGGCAATGTTTGGTGTCTTGGATCGCTCTTGCACATTGTCGGACCATGTTGAGCTCTCTTGGAGGCCACTTGAAGCGCTCCTGGAGCGCTCTTGGGAGCCTGCTGGGACCTGCCCGGGTCTTGCCCAGACCTGCCCGGGACCTGCCGGGGATCTTGCAGGGACCTTGCCGGGACTTGCGGGAGTACTTTTCGTCCAGGGACCCCCAGGGGCGGCCCCGCGCGCGCGAACTAGAAATATTGTTAACCAGTTGCCGGAGATCTTAGCACGCCCTTGGCCCGTTGGGCCGGCGAATTGTGAGTTGCCCTGCGAGCCCAGCACGCTCTGCCAGACAGGCCATTTAGCTCAGGAGTTCTTCGTTCGCACATCTGCATTTGCAAAGGACGTGAATCTGAACACCAAAACACATCATTATATACGCAGCTCTCTTCTTCCTATCTCTACACTTTAGGCTCAAGCACGTGACGCAAGGTGTGCGTATACGTCCACAGCGTGCAGTAGCTGTACACGCGCAGTCGGCCAAATACTACGTCTCCATGCAACGCGACACATTTCAATGTTACCTGTGGTGGCCGACACATGCTCGCGCGCGCACTCAATTATGGTCCAACGACTGCTCGTTGCTGGGAGTTCGTGGCCCATCGATGGCTGCGAGAGGCTGGTGGTGATAGCAGTCCACCTTGACTCCCATCAACAGCAGGAAGAAGGGAGCAGGGAGGGAGGGAGGACAGGAATGAGGAGAGATGGTGACGAGGGAGGAGCAGGGAGACGAAGAACCACGGCCGGCGAGAGGGAAAAGTGGAGACGGAAGGCTGTCCTCCTCGTCGTACCTCCTGCCCGCATACTGCGAAGATCCCAACGACACGTCGGGATCTGCACCAGGACCGAGCAGGTCGTCCTCCAGGGCCAGCAATGTCGGGCTGCACGGCAGCCGAGCAGAGGCAGGCCATAAACAGATCTGCACATGCAAAATTATTCCGAATGCCGAATTTGCGCAGGGGCTCCGCTCTGGCGCTTGCTGATGCTGGACGCACGAGCGGGCACCCGCTTCACACTTCATGTGGCAATCGCGTGAACTCCACTGAAGCAAGACTGGTACCGCCCATACCACACATGTGAGGATACATCGGGTGCCCATGATCACTACCCTTACGCATCTGGGATGCGTATGTCCGCACTGGTGCATGATTCATTGGCGCGACGTCAGAAGCATGTGCGATGAAAACCAGCAGGTGCGTTCCAGAGGAAAACGCTATACTGGAGCTGATGTCTTGCGACACGCAGCCCGATGCACTGCACCATGCAAGCCATTCAACGTATTTGTCATTCGTTTGTACGTCTACGTTCTCGCAGCCGTGGAAGATGCCTATGGATGGACATGCGCATGTCTGCAAACGTGAACTGCTGATATCCCACCCTCTAGGTATAATCCCAGCGGCAGCTCGCTGTTGTGCTACATGCAACTCTGTTCAACCATGACCTTGCCCTCATCACAGCGGACGTCATCAGCGAGAACAGCAAATGGAAGCACACTGACAGAGACCCAGCAACGGTTCAGACGCCGAGGAGCCGCAGGCGGGCATGTGGAGGAACCAGACAACGCCAGCGTGGCAGCGTGGCCAAAAAACGAGAGGAGGACGACGACAGCGACGGGAACCCAAGAGGAAGTACCTGTCTGCGAGAACAGTGCAGAGGAGCCAAGGCAGGGGACGGATGTCCAGGATTAGGCCTTGGAGGTAGAGCAGCCGCACAAGAAAAGCATGACGAAAGAACGAGTCAGCCACGCCCCGCGCCCATGGGCGGGGAGCACTCAAGAAAACACAGGTTCCGCTGGCCACAGGGCAGCTCGCCAGCCTACCACGAGGACCCCACGCGCCGCCCATCGCCTGACACTACGTCAGCGGCGCATTGCCGCACCCGCGGCCACAGATGTTCGGCGGAAGCTGGGCCGCCGGGGAGCCGCCAAGGCCCCCCGCGGGAACGGCGCGGAGGGCTCCTCCCGCCGCTCCGCCTCCGCGGGGTGGCGACAT